TAGGACTGTGTCCACTGAGAACCTCCCTTCAGTGGGCTGGTACAACAGCCGCCCTTTTGTGACTGGCGTGCGGGAGCAGGTGTCAGAACTTCCTGCCTCCCAGGCTGGAGAATATTTCACTAGCACATAAATCACACATTTGATTTATCTACTCCCTTATCTGTGGCTGGCTCACCAACTTTCCCCAGCCTTGGCTACTGTGAAGAATGCTGCGATAAGCAAGAGTATGCAAATGTCCACCCTAGTCCTCCATTTTCCTTCTGCCTGCATCCCCATGAGGGAAATTGCTGAATCACTCCCGGTAAAATACAAAAGCCCTGGGTTCGATTCCTCAGTACCACATACACAGAAAAAGGCCAGAGTGGTGCTGTGGCTCAAGTGGTAGAATACTAGCTTGGAGCCAAAGAAGCTCAGGGACAGCGCCCAGGCCCTGAGTTCAAGCCCCAGGACAGGTAAAAAGAAAAAGCAACAACAACAAAAACCCCACCTTTTCTTTTTATTGTTTTGTTGTGTGAGAGGGGCTTGTGAAGTCACCAACACTGGCCTGGAAAGTCACTGTACCCACGGGCTGGCCTCCAACTCTTGATCCTTCAGCTTCAACCTCCTGAGTGCCAGGACTACAGGTATGTACCACCACATGGGTTCCACTAGGGTTTTATACAAAGGCTCATGGGAGGTCTCTGGAGCTTCACGAGGGTGAGATGCGATGTCTTCAGTAGGATGTGTGGCTCCTGGGAGGGCTCTGGTTCCAGCAGGAAGGAAGAAGAAATGGGGAGACCTAGGAGAAGGCAGAGGTGTCTAGGTCCAAGATGGCAGCAGCTTAAAGCTTGCAGTCTGGTTGTAAGAAGCGACAGGGAACAAATTAATAAAGGAATAATTGAATATAAAAGTACTGTTCAGGATGCTAAGATTCCAGGCAAACAAAACAACTTCTTGGTCATTCTTCTTCCTCCCCCACTCCAGCGTCTCCACGTAGTCCAAAGTAAGCCTTGGTGCTGGGATTATAAGAGTGTGCTACCTCACCTGCGTTTTCCTTACTTTGATTATTGATTTCAGTTCCTATTTGCTCCGGGCTGCTGAAGCTTGGAAGCTTACATCACAAATTACCGGGGTCGATTCGGGGAGCTGGGCTGCAGGACCGAGAGCTTCTCAGGTTCACAGAATTGGGTTATTGTTCACGAGCCTCTGATGGAGAACAAAGGTGGCAAGGAAGAGGCTTGTAGGGAATGGACTGGGCTCCGTGGCTAAAAGAGCTGCCCAAGAGGGTGCTTAAGACCATTACTCTAGGGGCTGGGAAGGTGGCTTAGTGGTAGAGCGCTTGCCTTGCATGCCAGAGGCCCTGGGTTCGATTCCTCAGCACCATATAAGCAAAAAGAAAAAAGCTGGAAGTGGCACTGTGGCCACTACTTTATCCAAACCCCAAGTGGAGCACCTGCAACCACATCTTCTCACCTCCACCTTCTACCCTAGGAAATGCAACCCTGCGTTGCTCATTCAGTCATCTGCCTCTTATTTTTTCCCCTCTCTCTTCTTCGTGGTGCTGCAGATAGAACCACAAGCCTTATGCAAGCTGAAGAGCATCTCTGCTCACCACCTCCTGCTCTGCCTCCGCCATCAGAGAGCAGAGGTCAACTTTTGTTTGGCTCACTGCCCTGCCTGCAGGCTAGGTTTAAACACTTGATCATCTTATCTCAGCCTCCCAGGTGCTGGGATTACAGGTATGTACCATGGTGCCCAGCTTATTTAAGAATTTTAAATTAAAGTATACCTTTTTTAAAAAAACATTCTGATCTTGGGGTTTGCACTCAGGGCTTGGGCACTGTCACTGAGCTATTTTTTTTTTTTTCTCCCTGAAGGTTAGTTGTGTAACATTTGAGTCAGATCCCCACTTCCAGCCTTTTCTTTACTCTTCTCTGCTCTTCTGATCTCTTTGCTCTTCTCTTCTCTTTTGTGGTTAATTGGAGAGAAGAGTCTCGGGGACTTTCCTGCCTGGTTTTGAACTGAAGTCCTTCCTTAGCTCTCAGCCTCTTAAGTAGCTAGGATTACAGGCCTGAGCCACAGGTATCTGGCAGGCTGAGTGTAATCTTGAAGAATTCGCCCTGAGCGTCTGGCGATGTCTTTGCTGGCTCCGAGCAGCCCTGGGTCTCGCAGGAATTGCTGTGTCACTGTAGTTGCAGGCAGATGATCTGCTTAGCAGAGATGACCACTTTTATTCCAAGAGAGTTATGTTTGCATTTCCTTCATGAGTAATAATGATGAATGCCCTTTCCTGTGTTTACTCTATTGGGAGGGAAAAAAAGAATTGGCTAAAAGAGTGAATGAGTAAAGAGGGTAATAATGCAAATTAAATCTGACTCTGTCTCTCCTTCTGAAGATGATTCTGTGGCTTTCCACTGCTCTTGATCTCCAAACCCTGGCAGGCTCTGATTCCTAATTTCTTCCTGGCCTCCAGAGTTCTGTTCAAGAACTTGTCTGCTTCTGAGATTTTTCCACAGCTGTTTTTTTTTCTTTTTCCCCTAGATCCATTGCTTGATCTGAGCTCAAAAGCCCTTTTCTTCCAAGAAGCCTTCTTGATTCCTACCCTTAGCAGACTTTTTGTCTTTCTTCCTGGCTTTTGACCACAGTTGTAAACATACTCATCTGCTTTCTTTTTTACTTTTTGGTCAGTCATGGGTTTGAACTCTGGGCCTGGACGCTATTCCTCAGCTCTTCAACTCCAGGCAAGTGCTCTACCACTTGAGCCACAGCACCGCTTTCAGTTTTCTAGTGGTTAATTGGAAATAAGAGTCTCACGGACTTATTATTTATTTATTTAGCCAGTCCTGGGGCTTGAACTCAGGGCCTAAGCACTGTCCCTGAGCTTTTTTTACTTAAGGCTAATGGTCTAGCACTTGAGTTACAGCACCACTTCCGGCTTTTTCTGTGTACATGGTACTGAGTAATTGAACCCAGGGCTTCATGCATACTAGGCAAGAATGCTAGTACTAAACCACATTCCCAGCCCTCATCTGCTTTTTTAAAGCTAGGGTTTACATGTCTGTCAATCCGGGCACTTAGGAGGTTGAGGCAGGAGGATCAAAGGTAGTTCTGGGTAATACACACAATACAACACAACAACAAAACTATCCAATTCTGCTTCCCAAGCATTTGAATGCTTCCTAGTAAGACACCTGCCTAAGGGACACATTCCTATTGGGCAGTGACACCTGAAAGACTCTTAAAACTCACTTGCCCCAAGGGGGACCTGGACTAACTACAAAATGCTGAAAGCTACCTCATTCCTTCTTTCCTCTCGGGCCTCAAATTCAAACCCTGGCTCCTGCTTTAGCTTCTGCCACGGTCCTTGAAGACACTTGAGGTGAAAAAGCCTCACCTTGGGCAAGGACTAAGGAAGGTCGAAGGCATTGCTAGAATCACAGAGAAAGCTTGAGACTCACAGGCCCCGGCTTCTCTCCTGCTGGCTGCTTGGATCTCAAGCATTCTTAGGGTGCTATGGTATTGGGGTGGGCATTATTGATCCCCCTCAGACCCACCTTGCCAACCACACTGCTCTGATTCAAACTTGGGTTTAGACATTAACCATCTAAATAAGCCTTGACAAATGACTCTGCCTCTGTGCGTCAACCCCCCCTCCAGACCCCCCCAAAATGGGGAGAATAGTATTACTTCCCACGAGGGCTGTGTGAACGACACGTTAACACCTATAAACAGCTAAGCGTGCAGTCTTGGGAAGCTCAGGTAGCACGGATGTCTATTCACTAAGTATTAATTAGCAGGGCTGGGCTGGGAAAGTGGCTCAGTGGTAGAGCACTTGCCTTGAATGCTCGAGGCCCTGGGTTCGATTCCTCAGCACCACACAAGAAAAAAGCCAGAAGTGGTGCTGTGGCTCAAGTGGTAGAGCGCTAGCCTTGAGCTGAAGAGCTGAGGGACAGCGCCCAGGCCCAGAGTTCAGGCCCCACGACTGGACCTAAAAAAAAAAAAAGAAAATAATTAGCAGGGCCTCAGTTTCTTTGCCTCTGAGATCAGTAACTGGCTGGGCACTGGTGGCTCACGTCTGTAATCTTAGCTATTCAGGAGACTGAGACATAAGGATCCGGGTTTGAAACCTAGGTCAGGCAGGAAAAGTCCATGAGACTTTTACTCCCAATTAACCACCAAAAAGCCAGAAGCAGAGCCGTGGCTCAATGGTAGAGTGCCAGAGGGTCACAGGCCTGGAGTTCAAACCCAGGCACAATAATAATAATAATAATAAAGTAATTGAGTTATTTCCTGGGTGGTGTTCATGGGAGTGGAGGCTCTCTGAGCCTGTGTCCCTCTCTGTAAAGGGTAGACCAACCCTGAGTATCTCAGGGAGGTGTGGTGTGCATGCCTGTAATCCTAGCCTGCTGACGGAGGCTGAGGCAGGAGGATCACAGGGTGAAGGTCAGCCTGGGGGACTTAGCAGGATCCAACGCTGAAATAAGCATGGGGCCGGAGACCAGTGCTTTTTTGCCTAGCAGGGCCCTGGGTTCGAGCCCCAGGCACTCTGGCAGAGTCCGTGTGAGGCCCAGCTGCCCCGGGGGTTCGGATCCCAGCCCTGCCAGTTGGGATCAGGTGACCAGAGTCTAGGTCTCCGCACACCCTTCGGTCCCTGGGTAAAGGGGAAGTGGTAAGGGGCGGGGGGTCATGAGGACGCGCTGGGCGTAAGCAGAGGGCAGGGGCTGCACGCGCTCCAGCGGTGCGGGGCGAGCGGCCCGCGGACGCCCGGAGGGGGGCGGGGGGATGCAGGGAGCCCGGGCGCCGCCGGCTGCCCACGCGGGTGCCCTGCGGAGTGCCCGGCGCGGGGGGCGTGGCCTCGAGGGGCGGGGCGGGGCTTCGCGAGGCGGAGGGCGTGGTCTCACGCGGGGCGTGGCTCCGCATCCCCCCTCAGCCCCACCCCCGCGGGGCGTGGCTCCGCATCCCAGTGACGAGGGCCAACCCGGCGGCGTTGCGGCTCCGCGGCGCTCGCTCCCCAGCCGCCGCCGCCCTCCCGCCGCCGCCAGCCGCCAGCCGGGCCCGTCCGCATGGCGCTCCGCAGCTTCTGCAGCGCCGATGGCTCCGACCCCTTCTGGGTAGGTGCTGGCGGCCGCCGCGCCGCGTGGGGCCGCGGGAGGAGCGGGGAGGCCGCCCGGGGCGGCGCGGGGTGCGCGGGGAAGTGGGGCCCGCGGCCTCCCGGGGCCCCGCCGCCACCCCCCCGCACCGCTCCCCGCGCCGCAGCCGCCCGGGGGCGCCGACGGAGGAAAGTTGGGGGGCTCAGCACCGGGTGTGTGGGGGGGGTAGCACGTGCCTCTCGGGGGGGGGGGACGGGGCCTCTCCGCCTCGGGGTTCCCCCCATCCGCCCAGCCTCCCGGGGAAAAGGGGGTGCTGGGGAGGGAGGCCGCCAAGGGCCGGGGGGGCTGCTTTGTGAGTTGGGGGTTCCCCCCTCTCCCCGCGTTCACCAAGACTCCCCCCCATTACTTAAAATGGTGAGCTAGGGAGGGGGGCCCAGTCCCCCCACAACAGTTGTCTTACACCCCAGGGATCTCTTCACGGCATCTCCCTGACTTCCTGCCTCCGTGTCCGCCCCCCTTGCTTCCCCCCCCACCCCAGAAGTTCGGGGAAAGCAGGAGAAAAGCTCGTGGAAGGGGGGTGTCCTGGCATGCCCCCGCCCGCCCTTCCCGCCAGGTTTGGGGTGCAGAGAGAACCGGTTCCTGGGTTACCCGTGGGTGTGGGTGCGGGCGGGCCAGGTGGGGGGAGACCCCTCCGGGGACGCCCGGGGGGGGCAGTGGGACCATTCCTCCTGAAATGTGGGGGTGCCCCCCTTCCCCAGCTGGCTTAATCCCCGGTGTTTGGGCTTTAGCGGTGGTTTAGTAATGCGATTTATTTCTGTGTTTTGCTGCCTTGATTATTTGTAAACACAAGAGGCCAATCTGGACACAATTGTTGTTGTTGTTGTTTATGAAACAGGATCGACATACTTGTCTCTTAGGAGCCGATGCTTAAGCACCCGGAAACAGCGTCTCACCTTGTTTCCTTCTCTTGCTGGCTGGGTTTGCGGGGTACAAAAGTGGCCCTCCAGGGCTGTTCACCAGGAGCCTTGATTACTATGCTTATGATTTGGAGGGTGGGGGGCTGGTAGTGTGGTTTCGGTTGAATCACAGGACTTGGATCTGTCTACCAGTGGAGCTGGAAGTTTCTCCAGGGCTGCGAATTGCTTTACACTCACCACTCACTGGTTAAAAACACACAGAACACCTGTGGGACACCAACTCCCCGTACCAGGTGTAGTGAGAGTCTCAAGAGTTCCACCCAGTTCTACGCACAGAGCTGGTTCAGTGCTGCTCAAGTACTTCCTATTAATCTACGTTAAAGTTGTTTTGGGGGGGGCGGTGAAGAGGAAGGATAAGTAATCCTAAATTAGATCTGTGCCAAGATGTGTTTGATTGGTGGCACCTGTGTGCTCGGGCGCTCTCTGCCCTCTGTCTCCTTAGCTCAGAAGCCTGGCTCGGGAGCTCTGTTGTATTGGGTTGCACTTAGGGAGTAGGTGGCTATAGGCCTTCACCTCCTCCATCTCGGCCTGGCACACTTCCTGGGCCCTCTCCACCCGGGGTTCAGAGTCCTGCCCCAATGCCCCAGTTTCTAGGGGTGCCGCAGAAGCAGAATTAGTCTGTGGGCAGCTGAAGAATGAGAGAAATCCAGGTGTCAAAGGTAGTCCCAGGGCGGGATGGAGTAACTCACTTGTATTGGCCAAGACGGCAAGTTCCAGGCTGGGAGAGAGACCGGGCTGCCAGCCACATGACCGTATGGTGAACTCTACTGCGGCACTGCCTCAGTTTCCTTGGCTGTACATTGAGGGTAGGGACCCCCAAAGCATCCCAGCTTCATAGAGCTGTGGGAGATGAATCCGTATAAGTAGCTCAGCCTGTTTCCAGCGCAGAGATAAATAGCTGTTATCTTTTTGTTGTTGGTTTGTTTCTGAATATAGGGCCGTGTACTTGTTCCACTCCCTTGCCTTTCTTGGCCTGGCTTTGGGTTTCTTTGATAGGGACGGCTCAGAACTGGGCACCTTGGCTGGTGCCAAGGTTCTTTGCTTGGAAGTCAAGGACACTTGCCGATCCACAGGTGAACCTTTCTTACTTCGGGGCAGTTGTCTGCCTTGGAATGCACAAGGTCTGGGAAATGACCCTGAAAGGAAAGTTCTGGTAACTTATTCGCAACCTTCTCTAAGCTGTGAAAAAAGAGGACTCTTGTTAGCTAAGTGAAAATAGTCCAGCTGGGCGGCGGTGGCTCACGCCTGTTATTCTAGCTACTCAGGAGGCTGAGATCGGAGGATCATGGTTCATGGCTAGCCTGGGCAGGAAAGTCTGTGAGACTCATGTCCAGTGAACCACTGTGATGCTATGGCTCCAAGTGGTAGAGTATTAGCCTTGAATGAAAAGGCCCAGGGACAGTGCCCAGGCCCTGAATGCAAGCCCCATGACTGACAAAAAAGAAAACAAAAGAAAAGAGCAGTACATGAAAATAGGAGCTAAGATCTGCTACTGGGCTTTCTCTCCAGATAGTGGAAGGAGAGCCGTTTTTTTTTTTTTTTTTTTTTAAATTATTGTTGTTTTTGTTGCTTTTTGTCAGTCATGGGACTTGAACTCTGGGCCTGGGCACTGTCCCTCAGCTCTTCAGCTCAAGGCGAGTGCTCTACTGCTTGAGCCACAGCGCCACTTCCTGTTTTCTGGTGGTTTATTAGAGATAAGAGTCTCACGGACTTTCCTGCCCAGGCTGGCTTTGAACCGCGATGCTCAGCTCTCTGCCTCCTGAGTAACTAGGATGACAGGCGTGAGCCACCGGTGCCCAGTGAGAGCCAGTTTTGTGGCAGGTGTTTGAAGGGTGCTTGGGAATGTGGGCCTGGTCCTCCCTTTGCAAGTTATTTTTCCTTTTCTTTCCTTTTGAAATTTTTGGCTTTGAACTCAGGGCCATGTGCTTTAAAATTAAGCAGGCGCTTTATCACTTGAGCCATGCACTGCCACCCCATTATTTTGTGATTTTTAAAAATCATTCTAAAGGTGATGTACAGAGGGGTTACAGCTACCTACATCAGGTAATGGGGGAGCATTTCTTTTTGGACAATGCCGACCCATCTCTCATTCCTAGTCCCCCCCCCCACGCCCACACGTTGTACAGTTCTTTGTCCACACAGTGTCTAGTGAGCACCACTACCCCATTTGTTCACGCTTTGTCCCTCCATTCCCATGTGTCCCCCACCCCTTTACCCTTCCGAAGACAAGACAAGAACACAAAACAACAAAGAAAACAAAAAACCACCAATTATTTCCATTTCCTGGAGTTCATTTCCATAAAGATTATTTCCCCAGCCAATTTTTTATTTTTATTTTTTTACAGATTGTTTTCATTACCATGTTAATAGTACCGGGGCATGTTGTGACACTTCCCTACACACATCCACCATCTCCTCCGTCACTCTGCCTCCCTTTTTCTTTTTTTTTCTTTTTTTTTTTATTGTAAAGCTACTATACAGAGGGTTACAGTTACATGAGTGAGGTTATGAGTACACTTCCTCTTGAACATTGTTACCCCCTCCATTGTTTTCCCCCTACCATCCCCTCCCTCCCTCCCTTCCCCGAGTCTGCCTCCCTTTTTCAAACAACTTCAGTTGGTTCATCGTTGTAATTTCTTTTTTTTAAACCAGTCCTGGGGCTTGAACTCAGGGCCTGGGCACTGTCCCTGAGCTTCCTTTACTCAAGGCTAGCACTCTACCACTTGAGCCACAGCGCCCTCTTCTGGCTTTTTCTGCATGTGTGGTACTGAGGAATCGAACCCAGGGCATGCTCATGCATGCTAGGCAAGCAACTCTACCACTAAGCCACCTTCCCAGCCCCTCATCCTTGTATTTCATATGTGTTTATGCAGTGCTTTGGCTCCATTCATTTTCGTTCTCCCTTTCTGTTTACCTCTCCTGTGTCTGCAACCCCCCCCCCCAACAGATCCTTTTTTCCTCTCCTATCATTCACTTTTTTTTTTTTTTTGGGGGGGGGTCCAGTTGTGGGGCCTGAACTCTGGGCCTGGGCGCTATCCCTTAGCTCTTCAGCTCAAGGTTAGTGCTCTACCACTTGAGCTAGAGCACCACTTCTGGCTTTTTTCTTTTTTTGCTTATGTGGTGCTGAGGAATCGAACCCAAGGCCTCGAGCATGCAAGGCAAGCACTCTACCACTGAGCCACCTTCCCAGCCCTATCATTCACTTTTTAAGAGTATATTAATTGTACCAAGGGTTTCACATGTGTGTCCATTACATTGTAGTCAGAATAAGGTCTCCTTGTGTAGCCGAGGTTGGCTTTGAACTCAGGATCTTTCTAAGTGCTGGAATTACAAGCATGTGCTACCATGCTTGGCTGTGGGTCACTTTTTTTTTTTAAAGAAAAATGCTGCATACATGCGTTTCCTGCTCAGTGTAGGAAAATGGGAAAGTAAGGAAAGCCTGAGGCGCATGCCCGTGCACACACATGCACGCACACAGTTGTAAGATTACCAGGGCTACAGGTTTGTAGTTGACCTGCGGTGAACTGATAAACAGCAGCGTGGCAGGAAGGTCTTGGAGTGAGTTGGTCCCAGGGGCTTCATTCTCAAATGGAGTCGGTCCGTCTCAGTGGCTGTTTGGAATTTGGGGTGGAGGTGGTCTGATTCCTGCCTGAACCCCTCGAATTGGAGAGCCACATTGTCACCCCTCCCTTCAGGGGCGCTGTTCACTGCAACTTCTTGCCCTCCCCTTTTTGGCTTCCTGTCCTGCAGAATACAGTCAGCTCCCATGTGGCGGACACTTGGGGGTTGGGGTCTCCCTGAGACTGGGGGCCTGGCTCCTTCGTGACCATCCTGGAGGCAGCCTGCCTTGGGGGGTGCAGTCCCCTTCCCCTTGTGAACAGCTCTCCCACCCGAGTGACTTGGGGAAGGCAGAGGCCGTGTCCCGCCGAGGCCAAAGGCCTGGTGGCCTTCGCTCCTTCTCCTCCCGGCCCTATCTGCCCATGCCAGCGCCTGCTCCTCCGCATGTATCCATCCGAATCTGCAGCTTCTCACGGCCTCGCTGGC